CGGTAATTAACACCCGGCCTTTAATCACCCCCTCTCGGATGGCAGCGAACCGGGATTTCAGAATGCTCCACCGTGTGGAGCTCGGGCACCGCCGCATTCCCGGCACCGCTCGGGCTTTGTCCCGTGGATGGATCGGTCCGTGGGATCCGCTCTTTGGGATGGATCCGTCCCGCGGGGTTTGGGATCCTCTCCTAACCCTAACCCTAACCCCGAGCCGTGTGGGAGCCGTGGGAAATCCTCGCTGCTGTCCCGCGGTGCGGATTTGGGAGCTGGGGTTGTATCCCCGTCATTCCCGAGGGAAATGGGGCTGGGATTGCAGCCGGGGGGGGCTGTGGGGCCGGGCTCCATAACCCCGCTCCTGCAGCCGCTCCTTCCCGGAGCCCGGACCTCGGGACATTCCTTGGAGCCGGTGGTGAGAGGTGCCCAGGGGTTAAATCCCAGCGGGATAACCCCGAGCCTGGCGTTTCCAGCTCTGCTCCCACCTCCGGGGACATCTCACTGAAATTCAAGGGGAAAATGAGAAAAAGGGACGTGGAATGCGGAGTTTGTGGAGGATTTTGCCCGGGACGTCCTTGGCTCCTGGCGTACTCAGCCAGATGGTTCCTGCCCCCCCTGCCCGACACCTGCATTCCAGGGGGGGCCGTGCCTGAGAAGCCCTTTGGGATAAACTGAGCCATAGAAATGTAAATTAAATTATTTACCTACTCCCGGATAAATGCTCTGCCCTTCTGGCCAAGGAGGATCGCGATGGGATGGATGGGGTGGGCTCCAGAACCCGCTCAGCTCTTTGTGTAAATGGCACAAAAAAAAAAAAAAATATTCTCTGAGCAAACAAAAAAGGGGGAAAACGCCACTTTTGGTGCTTTGCACAATGTTCTGTGGGGCTGCTGGGCCGGGGATTCCTCACCCAGCACTGCCCAGAGTTTGATTATTATTATTATTCTTCCTCCCTTTTTTTCTTTTTTTTAACCACAAGGAAGGACCCGGAATCAATCACGGGGCAGGAGGGAGCAGCATTTTAAAGGGAAAGGCAGAGACACAGGGTCCCTGGCATTGCCTGAGCCAAAACCAACATTTCAGGGTTTAAATCTCGCTGCAGTTTGAGCTGGGGGCGGCTGCAGGGGGGAAATGGCTCCGAACGCACCCAGGGCTCCTTCCCGGAGCCAGCAGGAATTGGCTTTTCGGGAAAGGCTCGGGGGGCTCGGGATTTTACATCCCGGGGTGGAGCGGGATCCGGCCCCGCTGCGGCACGGCAGGGAAGGGAGGGGGGGTCACCTCTCCCAGCTTTCCCTCTCCTCCAGCTTTTCCCTGGATTGTGGAACGCGGCCCCGCTGTGGAGCCCGAGCTCTCCAAGCGCAGTTCCCGGTCTGGTTTTCCTTCCTGAGCCGATCCTTCCAAACCTTTCCCCCGTGTCCTTCATCCCCCGTCAGGAGGTCGGGAGCGGCTCCTCGGGGATCTCTGGGCACCGCCGGGGCCCCTCCGGCTCCCGGCCTCTGCCTCTCGTCCCCCGGGACAACTCGCCCGGCTCTTGGAATTCTCTCCCGAGCCACCAAGTCTTTGCGGCGCTCCCCCCTCATCCAGACGCCTCCTTTGCCATGGAAATGGGCCTCGGATAATTGCCGTGGTCCCCCCGGCCTTCCCAGCCATGAATCACTCCCGGATCGGGGCACTTTAGGCACATTAGCGAATTAATCCGTGCAGTCAGGGAGGGAATGATCCCGGCATTGCTCAGCTGGGAGATGGAGCCCGACCCCGAGCCGGCACCGGGGGCACATCGCTCACCCTGGGACCGCCACCCCGGGGTCCCCCCGGCCGCGGGGACACCCCGAGCCCGCCTGAGCCACCCTGCCCTGCGGGACCGGCTCTGCGGGCTGGGAACGGGCTGGGAACGGGCTGGGAATGGGCTGGGAATGGGCTGGGAATAGGCTGGGAATAGGCTGGGAATGGGCTGGGATCGGGCTGGGAACGGGCTGGGATCGGCTCTGCAGCGCCTGCTGTTCCCTGCTGTGTCCCCGTGCTCAGGTGTGTCCCTGAGGCCCCGGTGGCTCCAGCCTTGTGGCCACGGTGGCTCCAGGGCCGAGTTAGGTCGGAGCAGGGCTCGGCTGCTGACAGCTCGTTAATTCCGCTCGTTAATTCGCCGTGCTGAGCGTGGGGAGGCAGCGCTGGCTCTCAGCCCCCCCGGCCGGGAGCCGCAGCTACGCCCCGGCTGCTCCGCAGGGAATTGTGGCCGGGGGAGTGGCTCGCTGGTGGGCTCCGAGCGGGATTGGCAAGGTTAAAATCCACCGGGAGAGCTCCTGCACCAGGATCCCCCGGCCTGGGGACCTGCGGCACTCCGGCCTGACCCCAGCCCCGCACCAAACACAGCTCCAAAAATGGGGAGAAGCCCTGAGCTCTGGACACCCCCGTTCCTCACGCTGTGCTCGTGGAACCGCAGCAGAAATGCCCAGCCCGGGGCCGGGCTCACGGCGCACCCCAGGAGCGAGCACATCCATCCGTGGGGCCCCAGCACATCCATCCGTGGGGCCCCAGCACATCCATCCGTGGGGCTGGCACAGCCCGCGGGGCCCCAGAGAGCTGCGACACCCCGGTCTCAGCCAGCCCAGCCCCGAACACGAGGGAAAAATGCCGAATTTGGGGTCGCAGGGGCAGCTGCAGCCTGGGGAAAGCCCGAGGGCGGCTGGCAGCGCTCACCCTGCTCCTGTCCCTCGCCCCAAAGGCTTTACAGCCAACATCTTCTTTTTAATTCCGACACCCGCAAAATAGCAGCTGAAATAACCCTGCTGTATGTCAGCTGCTGATGGAAGGAGATTAAATATTAAAGCCAGTGCTGTGGCTTTAACTCATTCCATTTTTTTCCCTTCTCTTCCCCCGCTCCTCTCCCCCCTCTGCTTCCCCTCTCTGTGTAAAATGACATGATTTAGAACCCAAGTGCCAGACTCAGCCTCTGGCTTTCGGCGTTTGGAAATGTGCGCAGAAAGATATATTGTGTCTGTGAGCGTTTGTGCGCAGGGAAGGAGAGAGCTCCCGAGCTGTGAGCCCACATAAAGATGTTAAATAGAGCTGTAACGCGCGCCCGACGCACGGAAAGTGCCGGGGAAAAAAAAAAAAATTAGGGGGAAAAAAAAATCCGGCAATGAAGGAAAATGAAAGATTAAAATAAACCTGGCGTTGGCAAGGCTGGGCTGGGGCTGGTGGGAGAGGCACGACCCTGCTCTGCACCTCTCGCTCTTCCCTCCCTGACCTAAAAATCCCATTTCTTTAGCACAAAACGGAGCGGGAGAACTGGGAATTTTCTTATTTTTCATTTTTATCCTCTCTCCGTCTCAGGTGTTCAGATTTCCGACACCGCCCGCCTGCTAAATATTCATCCCAGCCCCGCCGCTCCGCACAAAACCCGGGTTCATTTCCCATCCCAGCAGGGTCCCGCCACAGCCGGCCGAATTCCACAAAACCCGGGGATTTGGGGGCCAAAACCATGGAGAAATGTGGGCGTCCCTTCCCTGGCAGGGCCGGCGCTTTCCGGGGCGCTGCGGAACCGGCGCCGCCGCTTCTCCCTCGCTCGCTCTTCCTTTGTTCGGGAGCGTCTCGGGGTCGCCGGGATCTGCAAAAGCTCCGTGGACAAAAAGGGTTCGTGGCCAGGCTGGAGCGGAGCGGCCGCATCGGGAGCTGCGGGGAGGAAAAACAGCCCAGATCAGGCAGATTTTGGCCAAACTGTCGAGAAATTTTATTTTGGGTTTATTTAAGGTTTAGCTACGGAGCGGAGCTGGGAGGGACGGGGCTCAGTCTGGAGTTCCACGGGCAAAAACCTCTTGGCTTTTCTCCCACCAGCTCTGGTTTCTCCAAATCTGAGCCCAAACTACCCGGGCACCTTGTGAGCAATGAATGGCTCTGTGTGCAACCCCCTTGTCCTTGAGCCGAGGGGTGCCTGGGCCCCATGTCTTGGTGTCCCCCACCACCCCAGGAGTGTCCCCTGCCAGTGGGGACTGTCCCCTGACACCCCAGGACTGTCCCCCACCACCCAGGGATTGTCCCCCACCGCCCCAGGAGTGTCCCCCGCCTCCGCTCAGCTCAGCAAATGCAGATTTATTTGCTAAAACTGCAGAGCCATAAATAAAGCCGAGGAAAGGCAGGCCCGAAGTGGGTGCCAGCCCCACAGGAACAGGTGGCTCGGGTGGGTTTGGGTTGGGATATTTGGGAAGGGGAGGGAAGGAAGGGGGAGAGGGCAGGAATGCGCTGCTGCTCCGCTGCTGCTGCTGCTGCTGCTGCTGCAGCTTTTTTGTGGAAGCAGCCGGTGCTGCTGGATGCATCAAAGCGCTGCGGTGCCGTGCCCCGGCCCCGTTTGTCGCAGTCTATTAGGAGAGACGCAATCCATCCTGGGCTTTATGGGGCTGTGCTTTAACCCCGTCCCTGCCTCGCTCCCCTCTCTCAGCGCTCCCTCCCTGCCTTTGTCTGCCTCTCCCAGCCCCACAGCTCCGTGGGGGTTTTGCCCTCCCTCAGGGATGGGCTGACCCCGCAGTTCTCCCCGCAGCTGGAATTTTGGGTGGGGGGTGGGTGATGCTCCCCCTCCCACGCGGGATCGGCTCCGTCCTCACTCCATAAAAACTCGGGGTGTATCTCCAGCGGGGCCAGCTCTGCCTCACCCCACACCGGAAAAGTTGCCCCAGGAGCGCCTGATTCCCTTTTCCTCCACCAGGAACAAAGTGGGAATTTCGGGAGGGAGAATTCCCGTGCGTTCCCATCAGCTGCTGTTTATCTCCAGCCCGAATCCGCTCCATTGCCTGCCGAGCCAGATTATTCCAGCCCTTGTCCCCAGTGTCCAGACCCCGCCAGGGCCGTTCCCCGTGCCCCCTGTCCCCCTGTCCCCCTGTCCCCGTGCCCCCTGTCCCCCTGTCCCAGCCCTGGCGGCCGCTGCAGCCACGTTCCCCCCGCAGCCGCCGCAGGACGGGCCCGTAAAACACAAAGTGCGTTTATTCCCCATTTTCTAAATTGTTTCATTTCAGAGGTTCACAAACGAGGACCACCTGGCGGTTCATAAACACAAGCATGAGATGACATTGAAATTCGGCCCCGCTCGCACCGACTCCGTCATCATCGCAGGTATGTGCCCGGCCAGCGCCCGGCAAGATTGATGCCAGGGACCAGATGCACTGCAAAACCCATAAAACCTCCTGTGATCTGCATTTAATCAGGGGGAAAGGAAAGCCAGAGGCTTCCAAGTTTTTTCTTTTTTTTTTTTTATGGCAGTATCAGGTTTTGTGGGGTTTGGGGGGGTTTTTTTAATTTTTTTTTTATTTTTTTTTTTTAAGCTCTCGCCCTTTTTTTATTAAAGGCTGGAGGATTTATGGCCAGAAGGGCTTTCACGTCTCTGCGTGTGCTTTGAGGACGATGAACCAAACCTGACAAAGCAGCTTCCCCTCTCAGCCCAGGTGTCGATTTTCCCGAGCTTTTAGGAAGCTGCAGTTAATAAATCCAAGCGGCACCGAGCGCAGCCGGGCTGCAGAGCCCAGCCAGGAGCTCCGGCAGCACCTGGGCACTGCAGCCCCTGAAAACCGGGGCAAAACCCCAACCCCACACATCTCTGGGCAGGTCCCAGAGCCCCTCCTGGCCCTTTTGTGAAGGGGCCGTTCCTGACACGCTTCCCGGAGGGTTTCTGGGGGAAAACGAAGCTGCTGCAGGAGCCTGGCACCTTTCTCCCCGTTTATCTCCAGCCCAAATCCGTGCGGAGGCAGGGAACGGGAATTCAGCTGGGTTTGAGTGAGCTCTGGGCTGGAAGCTGCTCCCAGGGAGAGGAAACATTCCCAGTGGGATCATTCCAGAACTGGGGGGATGAAACACCTCAGGAGCACGAGGAACAAGGTCACCCCTGACACTTGGGGAGCTGCTCTGGGGTAAAACACAAAACCCCCCAAACGAACTCAATTTATCCGTGGCCAGTTCAGGACCAGCTAAACCCCCCCAAACCCAAATTTATTTATTTTGTCCCAATCTGTGGACCAGCTAAACCCCCTCAGAGCAGTGCGTGTCGGACACAGACGGGGGGTGCGGGCTGTAAAACCCCGCTGGCTTTGAGCAGTGAGGGCTGCCTGGAATTCCATCCATCCCGGGCTTTTTCCAGCCACCATTTTGTCCCTGGGATTTCTCCCTGCCTCCCCAGGCCCTGTGTCGGGAGCAGGACCCGGCTGAGCCAGGGAGGGAGAGGGATTTCGATGGGATGGGGAAGGACGGGAGCGCGGAGCTCCCAGGCTTTGTTTGTGGAAATCTCTGCAGCTCGGGAATGCTAAACACGGAGCGATCCCAAAAGAGCCCTGAGAGCTGTTAAAGCCCTGGAAAAACAACCTCCTGCGGAGAGATTTGGTTGATGAAGTTCCTGGATTTTATGGATTGGGATCTGGGGGGAAGCAAAGGGTGCCCAGAGGGGGATTTTGCATCAGTGGCAAACCCAGCAGAGGGAGGGTTTGGAGTCGGGGCTGAATCATCCCCGGGACGCTCTTTGTGCTGGAAAATCCCGGTGTTTGTCTGCGGGCGGGATCCATCAGTGCGATTCCCAGCGGGGCTGGAGGCTCCTTGTGCTTTTATGGGCTGGGCCACGGCCAGAGAGAGGCCTCGAGGTGCTCCGGGATTGGGAACTGGCACTGGGAGCATTCCCAGGGAATCGCTGTGGGATTGGGAACTGGCACTGGGAGCATTCCCAGGGAATCGCTGTGGGATTGGGAACTGGGATTGGGCTCTGCCCGGCCCTGGGGCCGCTCCCTTCAGCTGCTCTCCCCTCTCCCTGTGTCGATGATTTCAGGGAGATCAAACTCCCGGTGTTCCCTCCTTGTCCCGCCGAGGATGGGGCAGAACCCCGGGGTGGGAGGGATGGGAATTCCACAGCCAGGAATTCACAGGAATCCTCTTGCTCCAGAGGTTGTTTCTTTAAACGCCAGAGAAACAAAACCAGCAAGAAGTGATTGTCCCTTTTCCAAAGTGTCACTTGCTGTCCCCAGGGCACCACCCGCATTCCCCGGGGCTCCACTGAAGGGCTGGGATGGGTAAAATGGGATTTTTTTGGCCTCTCCCTGACCAATTCCCGGTGTTCCAACCCAAACCAGACCAGACTCCGACCCCGACTCGGTTCCTGAAGAACTGTGAGGAGGTGGGACTCTTCAACGAGCTGGCCAGCTCCTTCGAGCACGAGTTCAAGAAAGCTGCTGAGGATGATGAGAAAAAGGCAAGAGGCAGTGACTGCCCTGGGAGGGCGGGGAGGGCCGGGCACTGCCCCTGACACGGGCACAGGCCCTCGGGAAGAATTTGTTGGCGTCTGCGGGGTCTTATTTTTGTGACTCGGGTGCCTTTGGCTGCTTTTCCCACTGATCCGAGGCCTGCGGAGAGCAGATTTAATGCTTTGTTACTCCTTTGGCTTTTCACTTGGAAAAAAAGGGGGGGAAATAGAGAGGGGGAGCACCCGAAACACCTCCGAGCTCGGGAAGGAGCTGCGGGACGGGAGCAGAATCCTCCTTGGGGCCGGGATTGTGCCTCGGAGGGGCCGGCACGGGGCAGGGAGCGGAGCTTCCATTCCCGGCGTGTCTGGAGCGAGCGGCTCGGAGGAAAAGAGCGGCTCTCCCGAACAAAGAGCTCTCTGCTCCGCCAGCGCCATCGATCCAGGCTGCCCCCGCAGCCCGGCGAGCGCCAGGGGCTGAAGGACAACGGGATCTCATCAGAAAGCAGCTAATTAAGGACATTTCCAGCCCCCCGCCCCTCCCCTGCCTCGGCGGGCTCGGAGCAGCAGCAGATGCGTGCCGGGCTCTCAGCCTGGCACATACATTTACTAAATTGATGTATGTCCGTACATACGCTCGCAGTCAGCGGCGCTGCTCGGAAATAAACTGCGGGAGCCGAGCCGCGTAAATCTTCCCGAGATGGGGAACGGAGGAATTCAGAATTAAAACTGAAACCTGGCTTCCCACCCGCTCCCCCCCTCGCCAATAACAGGCTCTTTAAACCGAAATTGATCTCTCTCATTGGTATGCGGCTGCTGCAGAGGCTCCTGCCCTTTGTTCTGCAAGGCAGCGAGCGGGGAAGGAGCGGCCGGGATTTGCGCAGATGGAGTGGCCGAGCAGGAGACCCCCGGCCCGGGGAGACCACCCAGCCGTGCCGGCCCTCGGCCCCGGGCTGTGCTCCGGGCATCGCCTTTAGGATGCCCCAGCCCCAATATTCCTGAACAATTAATTAATCCTAAATATCGGGGGCTGTCGGCTCTTAGGGAAAGGATTCTCCCTGCTCAGAGCCGCTGTCCGGGCGAGGTCAGCTGGTCACTCACTGCCCGGCGCTGGCCGGAGCTGGGCTTCCAGCGTCCACCTTGGTGTTTGTCCTCCCTTTTTGCCAGGGTGGTCTCGCACCAGCGCCGTTAATTAAAAACACAGGCGCAGCGGGAGCTTCCCCGGGGGCGCTTTAAGCGGTTTGAAACTTTGCTGCATGTTAATCCCGGCTCCTCTGGAATTCCCGCAGCAGCCCTGAAAGGGCAGGGAAATGGTTATTGCTGCACCTTCCGCAGCAGCGCCGCCCGCCCAGGGAGGGCACAGAGCTGCAGCTGCATCTCCCTCTGGAACCCTGAACTGTGGGGCTGGAGCTGCATCTCCCTCTGGAACCCCAAATTGGGGCTGGAGCTGCATCTCCCTCTGGAACCCCAAATTGGGGCTGGAGCTGCATCTCCCTCTGGAACCCCAAATTGGGGCTGGAGCTGCATCTCCCTCTGGAACCCCAAATTGGGGCTGGAGCTGCATCCCCCTCTGGAACCCCGAACTGGGGCTGGAGCCTCACTCTGCTCTAAACCATCCACATTTACCCTTTTACTGCTGGGATGGATGGAGCAGGGATGGATGGATGGATGGATGGATGGATGGATGGATGGACGGACGGACAGATGGACCAGGTGATTTGCAGGGTCTGGAGCATCATCCTTGCTGTGCCTCCCTCCCTGCTCTCTCCCTCCAGGTGTGGCACAGGGACAGTTTCACTTGTCCCCCTCATTCCACTTGTCCTCCTGCCTCTTCTGGTCCCCACACGTCGTTAACTGGTTCCACTGGGCCACGTGGCACTGCTGGATCCCAGGGCGGTGGCAAGTGGCCAAGTCCAGGCATATGGTTGGGTTTTATTTTAATGGGGCGCTCATAGATATTTAATAACTTGCATGGCTCTTTGTTTGCTTTTGATAATCGGGTAATAAAATAATTCAGGCTGATTTATACAATGTTTTACAGCTCTTCTGTGAGTGAAAGTGCCTCCTGTAACTCGCAGGCATTTGGCTTGGGTACCTGTTCTCCTTAGCAGGGCCCTTTTTATACAAAAAAATCATAACAACAACCCGTGGAGAAGCCGTGTGTGTTACCGAGAACCCACAAACTGCTGCCATCTGGGGCTGCCTCTCGTTCCTGGGCCTCCGTCTCCGTTTGGCCAGCGCTGGAGCAGCCCTGCTCTCTGCCTCGGGCTCCCAGATGCTGCTTCAGTACAAATAAATAAAAATAATTTGGCAAGAGCTGGGAGCCGGAGCCGCTTCCTCGGGGAGCGAACGTTCCGCAAACAATGCCAGCCGATTGTCTTTTCTGGATCTGATTGTCCTTTCAGATCTGACTGTCCTTTCAGATCTGATTGTCCTTTCAGAGCTGATTGTCCTTTCAGATCTGATTGTCCTTTCTGGATCTGATTGTCCTTTCAGATCTGATTGTCCTTTCTGGAGCTGATTGTCCTTTCAGATCTGATTGTCCTTTCAGATCTGATTGTCCTTTCAGAGCTGATTGTCCTTTCAGATCTGATTGTCCTTTCTGGATCTGATTGTCCTTTCAGATCTGATTGTCCTTTCTGGAGCTGATTGTCCTTTCAGATCTGATTGTCCTTTCAGATCTGATTGTCCTTTCTGGAGCTGATTGTCCTTTCAGAGCTGATTGTCCTTTCAGAGCTGATTGTCCTTTCCCTCCTGCAGAGCTCCGGGGCCCTGGACATGTCCCTGCCCTCCACGCCGGACATCAGGATCAAGGAGGAGGAGCCGGTGGAGGTGGACTCGTCCCCGCCGGACAGCCCCGCGTCACGGCCACGCTCGCCCCAGCACAAGGACAAGGTGGGGCCATCCCCACGTCCCCATGGTCCCTTTGCATGTGGGGCCAGGGCCTGAGCTGGGCTTTTCTGGGGCCTGAGTTGGGCTCCTTGAGGCCTGAGCTGGGCCTCTGAAGGGACGGGCAGAGGGGCTGGAGCTTCCCCTCCCTCTGAAACACCCTGAGCTGAGGGGCAGGAGCGCGTCCCCTCCTCACCGTGTGCTCCCCTCAGTTTCTGGGTTTTTGGAGGCTGCAGGGTTTTTGGAGGCTGCAGGATTTGAAGGCTGGCTGTCAGCAGTCCCTGTTGTGTGTTCTGCCCTGCAGGAACTGCCCTCCAAGCCGCTGATGCTCTCCACACCCACGCCCACCATCGTGCGGCCGGGCTCGCTGCCGCTGCACCTGGGCTACGACCCCCTGCACCCCACGCTGCCGTCCCCCACCTCCGTCATCACCCAGGCCCCCCCCTCCAACAGACAGCTGGGGTGAGTACGGGCAGCGTGTCCTGGGGCAGGAATGCGGATCCTGAATGAGCTCCAGGGGCTGCTGGAGGCTGCTCACGGCTCCTCACGGCTGCTCATGGCTGCTCACGGCTGCAGCAGTGCTGGGATGGGAGTGCAGGAAGCAGGAACTGATTGTCCTGGAGTGAGGGAACAAGGCAGAGCTCAGTGAAACGAGACAAAACTCGCCGTGGGGAGAGATGAAAGTGCTCCCTGAGCTCAGCACGGCGGTGCCCAGCGGTGGGGAACTGTCTCCAGCTGGAATTGCTCAGGGATTGTCCCTGGAGCTGGAATTGCTCAGGGATTGTCTGGCCCTGGAGGCTCTGGAGGCTGTGGCTCCGGGCTTGGCAGGGCCTGCTCGGGAAGGAAGGAGCCTGAGGGTGCAGGGATGGTCCTGAGCCCTCGGGACAGGCACAAACCTGGAAAACGATTCGGGAATTGTTTGTTTCTGCAGGTCTCCCACCGGCTCCCTCCCGCTCGTGGTGCAGCTCGCCAACGGCCAGGCCATGCCCGTGCTGCCCGGCCCCCCCATGCAGATGCCGTCTGTCATTTCGGTGAGAGAAACTTCCAGAACTCCCTGTCCGGAGCAGGGAACGGGCCTGGCCCTGCCAAGCGCTGCCGTTCACGAGCGCTTGGATCTCTGTCCCTGCGAGGCTGCGGGAGGAGGAGGAGGAGGAGGAGAGGAGGGGCAGCTCTGGCAGGGCAGCAGTAACGTGGGGATCACACCAGAGGGCAATAAGTTTGGAAAAATCCAAATCCGTGCCCGGACAGATGGCTGGCGCCGCCGGGCCGGGGCTGGGAGCCGCAGGATCCCTGATTAGCTGCTTCCATTTGGAACAGGCTGCTCCGAGGGCAGCCGAGCTTGCAGGGAACACGGCCGGCTGTGCCGGCCGGGGAATGTCACCTCCAGCCCGGGCTGGGCTCTGCACACGGAGCTGCCCGAGCGCTGCCGAGCCTCCTCACCCCTTCCCTCACAATTCCGAGCCCTTTGAGGGGCTAAAAGCATTTCCAAATCCTCCACATTCTGGTTTCTTTCCCTTTTTTGGAGGGAGAAAGCTCAAAGAGGAGGCACAGTGGCAGCTTTGCCACGGAACCAGAGCGGATTTGGTGCCTGATCCTTGCACTGCTGGGGAGGGGAGGGAGATATGGGATGGAGTTCAGGCGTTTGTCAGCATTTGCAGACCCGCTCTGTCAGGAGCTCCTGTAGAGCTGCTCCACTCCCCAACCCTGCTGTGCCCGCTCCCCTTGCAGCTGGCCCGGCCGGTGGCCATGGTGCCCAACATCCCTGGCATTCCCGGGCCCCCCATCAACAGCAGCGGGTCCATCTCGCCCTCGGGACTCCCGGCACAGTCCGAAGCCAAAATGGTGAGTGGTGGGGAGGGGGTCACGGGCCTGTTCCTCAGCCTGCTCAGTCCCTGGGCATCCCTGGAGCCCGGGCTGGGCACTGCCCGCTGAGCTGGACACTGCTGGGCTGGGCTGGGCTGGGCTGGGCTGGGCTGGACACTGCCGTCCCTTCGGGCAGCCCAGCTGGGGACAGCTTTGGCTGGACTCGAGTCAGCCGCGGTGCCCTTTGCCAGCGGGGCGGCTGTGGGGTGACAGGAGCTGCTGAGGGCCCTGAGAGCTCCCCTGATGTCCCTTTTGCTTCCCTGGCAGAGGCTGAAGGCCAGCCTGGCAGCATCATCCTCGCTGAACGGCGGCAGCCTGGTGGTGGGCTCGGCCAGCACCATGGTGAGCGCGCGGCCGGAGCAGAGCCAGCTCCTGGTGCAGCACCCCGACGCCCCGTCCCCGGCCCAGCCACAGGTCTGTGCTGCTGCTGCTGCTGCTGCTGCTGCTGCTGCTGCTGCCCCGGGCTGGGCTGCATCACCTGCGGCTCCCAGGGCTTGGGAAAACCTCCCAGTGTCCTTCCCGCTTTGCAGAACGGGTTAAAACCTCGCACTGAGGCACTCCCGGCCCAGCAGGCACGAGCTCCAGCCCTGCTCATCTGCCTGACGAGCTCTGGGGTTGGGAAGGAGCATTTCCCCTCTCTTCTCCCGCTCAATTACGGGGGTTAAGCGCTCCCCGCTCGGGCCATCAGCTCGGCTGGCTCCTGCCAGCCCGCCACATGCCAGCCTTCCATCAGCGTGGCCACCTGCTCCAGGCTCGCGTGGCTTCCAGGAGTTTTATCTCCATATGCCGTCCGACAGCGAGGGCGGGAGTGGGGCTGTGTCCCCGCCGTGGGGCTGTGTCCTCTCCGTGGGGCTGTGTCCCCTCCGTGGGGCTGTGTCCCCTCCATGGGGCTGTGTCCCCTCTGTGGGGCTGTGTCCCCTCTGTGGGGCTGTGCCCCCTTTGTGGGGCTGTGTCCCCTCCATGGGGCCGGCATTGCCCCCTCTCCCCTGCCGGCCCTCGCTGCTTCTCCTTTGTTCTCCCGAATAGAACCGGGAGATGTGCGGCCCTGCAGAATCCGTGTTCCCATCGCCTGCAAGGGCTTCTTTGGCTGAAGGTTTTGAGGGGAAAATTAATTTTTAAAGCAAATTACCCGTTTAAAAAGCGGGCTTTGCTTCCAGCCCGAGCAGGACCGAGCTCTGCTCTGCTCTGCGGTGCCACCGCCGTGTCCTGCCTGCCCCAGGCTGCTGCTGAGCCTGTCCCCTGTCCCCTGTCCCCTGTCCCCTGCCCAGGTGTCCCCTGCCCAGCCCACGCCCAGCACGGGCGGGCGCCGCAAGCGGGCGGTGGACGAGGACCCGGACGAGCGGCGGCAGCGATTCCTGGAGCGGAACCGCGCGGCCGCCTCGCGCTGCCGCCAGAAGCGCAAGCTCTGGGTGTCCTCCCTGGAGAAGAAAGCCGAGGAGCTCACGAGCCAGAACATCCAGCTGAGCGTGAGTATGTAACTGGGGCTGGGCCCTGGCACGGCGCTCTCCCCGGAGCTGCTCCCTGCCCGCGCCTCGCTCCTGCCTTCCCGTCCTCGGGGTTCACCAGTGCTGCGTCCTCGCTGTTTTCCCAGCGGGATTTCCTCTCCTGGCTGGGGGAGAGGGAGGCTCTGTGCCTGCTCTGCTTTTCCCGCATTTCCCTGGCTCTCTGTGCCCAGGAGTGTGCAGGAAACGCAGATTTTCCACTCCTGGTTTTCCCCGAATGCTCCCAGCACTGCCCAGGGCTGAGCTGGGCTGGTTCGGGTGGGTGATCCCTGCAGCTGCTGGAACCCCACCCTGGTGGTTTTGTTCCCTCCCAAGACAATTCTAGAAACGATTTCCTTGGGCACTTTTGGGATGCAGTTGTCTGGGTTTCAGCTGCTTCCCCACACGCGTCAGAGGGATAATCCAGTGGGTTTTTGGGAAGCAGACCTGGCTCACGGCCGCTCTCCGGGTGAGGAGGAGCTGGGATGTCCCCACCGGGCGCTGCCGAGTCCCAGCAGAGCCAGTGGCGCTCCAGCTGTCCCTGGGCGGGTGGCAGCAGCTCGGGGACAGTGACAGGGACACTGCTGTGGGTGGAGGTGCCTGGGCCAGGGGCAGCTCAGCCCTGGCAGCTGGCACGGGTGGCAGCCACAGGTGACAGCCACGTGTGTCTGTGCCCTCAGAACGAGGTGACGCTGCTGAGGAATGAGGTGGCTCAGCTGAAGCAGCTGCTGCTGGCCCACAAGGACTGTCCTGTCACGGCCCTGCAGAAGAAGACTCAGGGCTACCTGGGTGAGTGATGGCTGTGCCACTCCCTGCAGAGGGCTGTGCCTGTCACCTCCTCCTTGTCACCTCCCTGCCACCTCCTCCATGTCACCTCCCTGTCACCTCCCTGTCACCTCTGGGTGCTGCTGGGCAGGGCTGTCACAGCGCAGGGACAGAGCAGGGACAGGGCAGGGACAGGGCAGGGACAGGGCAGGGACTGCAGCCCCCCTGGGCTGGGAGGGACCCCCGTGGCCCCTCGCAGGACACCCCCACCCCCAGCCCCCCATTTCTGCCCATCTCCGGCTCTGGGGGTCCCTTGGAGCTCGGGGTGGCCCCTGCCCAGGGTTGTGCCTCTCCAGGCTGGGGATTTGGTGTGGATCCAGCTCTCCCTGCTCCCGGCAGCGAGCCAAGCCCTCCATAATCCATTTGAAATCCAAAATTCGCTGCTGCACAGCAGAGGCAGAGTCGGGAAGGGCCAGACTCTCCCCATGATATCATGGAGCTCCATTGCTCTGCATTCCCATCGAGCTGGCTCGGCTTGGAAGTGGAAAAAAAAAAAAAAAAGCTCTTTTTTATCTCCTTTTCTTCCCTTCATTTTTTTTTTTAATGCTGCCTATTTCATTATAACCAACCCGGGAGCTAAACACGATCTGGGTCCTCCTGCCCTCCCTGCAATACCAATTCCAGGCTGCTGTCAGGCTTTGGGAGGACGCTGGAGTCCTCTAGTGTTCCTTGGAAAAATGGGAGGAGAGGCAGGGATGGATGAGCTGAGAGAATGGAACGGGAAACTGCAAAAAACGAGGGAGAAAAAGAAAAAAAAATTATTTAAAAAAAAAAAATTCAATTCGGTGTCCTTGGGGGCTGTGTCTTGGTCCCATCTCTGGAGTTGTGTGCTGCCCGGTGAGGCACAGGGACGTGCTGGCACAGCCACTGTCACTCCTGCAGTGGCTGTCCCCACCCCTGGGTCCCTGGGCTCCTCTCCCCGCTCCCCACGGCAGCAGGGATTCATCAGCAATCTGAACATGAGAGCCAGCCCTCCCCTCTGCCCCTTTTTATGGCCCAGATTTGTGGCCAGGCAGGCCCCGGAACAAAGCCGCAGGTCCCTGATGGAATTGCAGCTGCCTCTGGACACTCGGGGGCTTTATTTGCAGTGCCTTGTAAATCTCCTGCCTTTTGGGGTGCCAGGGCAGGATACTGCTCTGTGCACCTTCTCCAAGCCCAGGCCAAGGTTGTTCCAGGGAAAGGGAGAAGGAAATCCGAGCCCGAGTCCACTCCCCAGTGCCCCCGGAGGTGTGCTGAACCCCAAACCTGATTTTTCCCCAGTATTGGAGGTTTTACGTGGGAGAAACATCCCAGCTCCTGCCTTTGTTTGCTCTCCCAATCAAACCTTTCAATTCAAATTCCATCCCACTGGAATTTGCTCCTGCTCTGTGGGTGCAGAGAGCTCCGGAGCCGGGGTTCACCGGGAGCGAGGGCTCTGCCCCTCCCGGCGCTGCGAGTTCCCAAAAAACACAGCAGGCAGAGCCTGGTGATGGGCTCGGATGGATTGTAGTGTCTCGGGGAGTAATGAAGAGCAGAGCAGGTGATTGAGGTAAAAAATGCCCCCAGAAGCCGAGCTCTTGGCCCTGCTGAGGGGATCCCGCTCCCCCTGGCAGGTGGGGAAGGAGCTGCTCAGCCTCGGGCTCGGTAACCTGAGGGGAAATTAATTCCTTGTACGAGGAATGAATGGTTGGGAAGGAACGGTGGGGATGAAGGTTGTGCCAGTGCTGCCCTCCTCGGGAAGCTGTGCTGCTTCCTGCCTGGAATTCCGGAGGGTTCCACGGCCTGGAATTCTGGAAGGTTCCAGCCTGCTTCTCCAAGGGATGGGGCTGGCCATCCCCAGCAGGAGGGGAGGATTGTTATCTCCCAGTTCTGTCCAGTCCTGCCAGAAGGGAGAGGGTTCCATATTCCATAGGGCTGGCTTCTTGCTCCAGGCTGGAATGGTCAGTGTCCAGCCAGTGCCCGATGGTCCCTGATCCCACTCTGGCCCAGCAGCGTTCCCACCCCAAACCAGCCCCATTCCCACCCCAAACCAGCCCCATTCCCACCCCAAACCAGCCCCACTCCCACCCCAAACCAGCCCCC